ACGAAAAATCGAAGGATCTGAATTTACTTGACTCTCCATTACAGTCAACCACTATTCGGGATACCAAGCAGCTGTATAATTACCGTTATTTGTATGGGGAAACAAAAACCAGATCTAGTATCGATCAAACTCAGGAAGTTATCCTTAAACTCCTTGAGCAAAGATCCACTGCTGATGAAATGGACCCAGATTTGCTTGACAAGAATAAAGCATTCGTCAGAGAATTCCTGTTAAGACACGAGAAGCAAGCTTGTTTTGTGGCATATTTGCAACAGTCTCACAGATATAGAACGCTTCTCCACAACATCAGCAAATCCCAGGCTTACTACGCCTTTGGCTTTTGACACTACATTTAACATTGCAAATCATCTCGTGACACAAACGGCCTACAAGCAGATGTCAGTAATTGGAAGAGAGAGTTTAAGGAATCCCTGGTTTCTAGGTCCCATTTCTGATCCATCGAAATCAATCAGCGCAGGATTTTGCACATTTTTGGCAAGCAGTGAAAAGAGGGAATCCGGCTCTTACCAAAATCCTTGCTTTTGGTACAGATGAAGACGAAGCACTTTCTAGCGGCATTCTTAAAGAAACGAGTGGAAAGACCATTCACCTTTTGGGCAAAGAGCATGCCCAAGCAAATGTAGATAAAAAATTGCAGTCGTTAAATTTTACTTCATTTTGAAACTTATAAAGAGAAGCAAATGAGGGACAAAATTATTAAAAAAGTTCGAAAGCAAGCTTCCATTGACGGAGCGTACGGCCAAAATCCAATGAGTAGCAAAACGTCTTACAAAAAGATGAAATATCCGCCCACGTGCATTCAGAGGGCCGTAGTCATCGAGACCCGACACTTTCAGAGTGCCTAGATGCCTTGAAAGCACGCAGTATCCGTTTATTTAGCAATGTTGTCAAAGCCATATATGATTATGGTCCTTACGTCCTAGCACCAGCCTACCACATGTTTCGTAAAACATATGCCGATTGTAAAGGCATGTCATCAGACGGACGAAAGGTGCACATCGCAGCATTCATGGCTTACATTCCAACCGAACGCTTTCCGTATCGCTTCAAGAAGCTTCGGTTCTAAATGATGTTTTGCCTCCTCACCTCTTACAAGATGCTTTTAATAAAGCCGAAGAACTGTTAGACGAACCCAACTCCATCACCAAAGCGGCTACCTACGATGATCGTTTACGCACAGTTAAAAGCCACAGTGGATCCGTACCATTGATTGTTAATTAAGCCATTCCATAAGAACAGAGACCTCTTTCAGTGTACATGCAAGGTCTATAAGGCATTAGGAATGTGCTGTGATGCCATTGCCGTCGCAGATGAGGTCGGAGTTCTCTGCAATTACCTTTGTGAACTATGAAAAAAACTTGGCAAGCGAAAGAAGAGCGCCGGTAAAAAAGCCGTCAACTTAACAGCAGCTGTCCAATCTGACTTAACCTCTTCGCTGAAAGGTCACAAAAAGAGCGAGACCCAAAAACTTTCACATAAAGACCGGCCACAAGTGATGAGTCCTCTCCCACTGGACCAGTAAAACAACCCAATGTGCAACAATCATTGCCCACGAACACGCTTGCTGAGGACAATTCCACCCGCATTTACCCTCCATTCTTGTCAACGGAATTTTTATTTCAGCCCGCAAACCAACGTGTCCTCACTGATGCACACTCCGCCATTCTCAGCCAGCCTAGCATCGGCATTCCGCAACCACATTGTCGCCAACAAGTAGTTTTAATTTACAGCAGCAAAGCAATGCTAGCAATCACATTTTGATTCCTGGAATTCCTGGTACATACCATTCTGCTAATAACCACCACAGACAACAACAAATCCCTTAGGATAATCTGAGACCTAAGATAGAAATGGAATGAAAGCCTGAGTTAAATTATTGCAAATCACAAATATTCAAATGTCTGGCAATATCAAGTATCATACCAGTGCAATCAGTTCTATATCTTTATAGTTGTAAGAAGCCAATTTTTATTATCTCTTTAATCAATCTGATCCAGTGAGCCTGGTGACACCTAAATTGAACAAAATTGCTTCAAAAATGGCTAATAACAAGGAATATATATATGTATATAAACACACAGGTAAGTTATCAAGAAACTTGAAAACAATAAAAGTACCTCTAACGTGAGTGCAACCTTTCGTTCACTCCAATGTAATTTATAACCACTAAACTTCTACACAAAAATATGGCATATGTTGATGTTGAAATAGTTTCGAAACGTTAGCTTCAGTTAGCTTATCACTTTAATAAGAACCCACTTATTAAATTAGAAAAGGAATATGGACCTAACTTTTTGAAGACAGAGGGGAGGGGGGCATTAGATACCATGATGAATTACGATTTTGAATTTATTGCGAATAGTTTCATTTTAGGGAAAGAGGTATAATTAACCCGAACATACCATATCACTTCCACTTTTATGACCAACAAAGTCTTTGTAGAACTTTTAAAATATAATAATCAGTGGTTAATTGACAGATTGTACAATACAGTAAAACAAAGGTACGAAACACGCTTGGCATTTTTGCATGCGAAATCGCTAGTTTGCCATTCAATATGGCATGCGGTATACCCCCAAAATGTTTGCGCCACGTTCATTTGAGTCAGTGGTGTACTGCCCAAGAATATTTAATTAAGTAAACATGGCGGCTGTTTCAAATGTGCGATTTTCGTTGGAAGAAGTGTTAAAACAAGACATCTTCAACGAAAACGCCGTTGAACAGCCTTCAAACTCTTTGACAAAAGTTCAGGAGGCAATTGAGAGTTTGGCAGTTGAGCGTGGGTGCAGCAATGCAGAGGCTGTCACTGGGGCATGTGTTGAGCAAGTTCAAGCTATGCTTGAACTTGCAACAAACCATGGAGAATCTGGGCTGAAATTGCTGGCAATTCCCATCAATGTCGGCCCTATTTTGCAGCGAGAATCACGTTTGTGGTTAAATGGGATTCGGCGACGGGTTGGTGGTAGAAGGAGCATTCGGAACCCGTATTATGGGGAATTACGAGGGATATGCCTTACGAGGTTTTCACGGCGTTGTGTCGAATTGTTCGGGGGATGGATGGTTTCGTGGCACCTTTTTGTTATGAGCGCCAAAACAAGAAGGCACATGTAATATCTTTAACATCAATGCGTCTTGTGAACGAGTTGTTTGTTTTACTATCTGGCTTGTCGATAGATGAAGTTGCCGATTACTTTAAGAGATGTTTTTCTGGCAATCGAAAGGGTCACACAGCGGCAGTTATTATAACCGAGGTGAAAGACTTTGTTTTTATTTACAAGAAAAGGCCTGGAAAACTAGTCATCGGTTTTAATTATGGTGAATGGAATGTAAATGGAGTTCCTCAGCATGTATGCTAACATTTCTTTAATCTATGAAAAACGTTTTAACATAGGCACGTTCTTACAGTTGTGAAAATTCAGAGCATTGTTTAAATCATTTTAGGCAAAATTTTGGTAATGTAACTGCAAACATGATTGATCATTTCAGGCAATTATATTACCAAAATTATGAAAATCTGAATTGTTCTCAGTGCACTTTGATGAAATATGCTTAGTTTAGTTAATTTAATCTGATGTTGGCTTTTATAATGCACTTCATTGCCAAGTTTTCACAACTGTTAAGAACCATGTCAAAGCCAGGGCTGTAACTAGAACGATAATTGGGGTGGTGTTTATTCATATATTCAGTTCAGCCCGACGGATTTCTTTTGTAAGTGCAATAGCTCACAATGGAAATCCGTCGGGCAGAACTGAATATATGAATAAACACCCCCCCAATTATCGTTCTAGTTACGATCCTGGTCAAAGCTCTATATTTCCTTTTTAACTATATCAAAGTAATAATCCTTATATAGCTGGATATTGCCTCCAAAATCATAGATTTACATACTAATATTTTGAAGGCAAACCAGCAGACAAATATATGTGAACTTCCCTTTTAATGACTAGTTTTCCAGTTGCTTTTTCAGTCAGAAAATCAAACTGCTGCCAGATAGTAAATCAAACAACTCAAATAATGTCAAGAACAAAACACAATTTTAGGGTTTTTTGCCACAGCCACCCCCAACAATTTGAAAAAAAATCAATTTTCTTCTGCCACCATTTTAAGAAAAAGAAACAATAAATACATTTTTAATGTATTTATGTTACAATACATTTAAAATGTATTTATAGTCCTCTTTTTGATTTTAACTAAATGGTACTGCATGACTTTGTCTATCATTAAGCTGCAATGGTCCTCTAAGATTCCACATTGAAAAGAAAAATCATCAGGACTTTTTCAGAAAAATATAACTAGGATGCACTGAGATTTTTACCCCTTGGATACTAGTGGATACTTGAATACTAGTGGAGAGAATGGAGCTTTGAAGAGTTTATACAAATGAGTATAGGTTTACAACACAAGTTTTTGTCTTAATATATATCTATTCTAAAAATAGAAATCAAACATACATATTTCATGCAAAAATTACAAAACTAATACACTAATAATCAAGATGTATGCAACATATGCATAGCATATTCCTGTGTGTTTAACATACACAGTTATGTAAAATGTTACTGTTCATATTTGTTTTTATATTGTAAATACATTTAGGTTAAGACATTGCAAGTAACCTGAACACTATTTAAAACTGATAGCACTGATTTCAATACTTTGTCAAACTAATATACTAACAAGTACACACTTAAAAAACATCAGGTTGATGCAATATTGATATGAACATGATTGATCAATGTTGTGCGGCCGACATTGTTCAGAGTTGTTATTAAGATGTATTAGCATATTCCAGTGTGCTTACATACACAGTTAGTATGTTACTGTATATTTTACATTTGTACATTATTTGGTTAAAGCCCACTTATATAGTGTTGTTATATTGTAAATACATTTGAGACATTGCAACTAATCAGAACAATAATCAAAACTAATAACAGTGCTAAATATTTCTGGTTTATAGTAAATTTCTCATATATACACAATTGTGTATGTTTATATGGTCAAATATATTAATAACATATATTGGACATTAATAAGAAAGAATATCACAATCATGACAGGGTATTTGTTTTAAGCATCAAGTTGGAGTATGACACATGCCATAAATAGAATGAATCATGATAAACATTTCTCTCAATCATTAAAACTTATATCAATTCTGCTGATGTACTCACACAAAAGAGCAAATCCTGCTAAATGATTGTTCGATTTCATGCATGATTCGAGTCGGCGTCACAACACATTTTCATCAAAATTGTTTTTGACTATAAAATGTTGAAAAGCATTACGTATAAATTTAGTGATTTACGCTATTAATATAAGCGTGTATGTCTGAAACATGTATACCGGCTATAGCCTAAGTACATGGATTGTAATTCAGTGGCAATCCATGTACTGCTTCCTGCAGAGTAAGATAGGTTAACTCATTCAGCTGTGGAAACATGAGGCAGATTTGAATTAAGTTCATTGGTCGTACTTAATCATACTGACTTAAATTTTAAAGGCCCACACAAACGAGCAGTTTTCTCTTAGAAGTTTCAGCTCTTTGCAAGGTGCACACGAGCAAATTACTCTCGACAAGGAGCTAGGTTGACAAAAAAATTAATCGTCTGTGTGGGGCTAAAGGCCTACACAAACCGGATGAGATCCGGCCAACGCGACGCGATTTTTACGAATTCAGTTTTTATAACTATAAACCGCTAATTTTGACAACGCAATAATATTCTTGGTAATACCGATTGAAGGTACATTTTGACTACTCTGGTGCCCATATATCGCAAAAGGTCCTTTAAGAATTGAATTAATTTGTTTCTGAAAATAAAAAAATTCGCGTCGCATTATGGCGAATCGCGTCCAGAGTATGCAGGCCGTACAGACTACGCGCGACAAAGGTTGCCAAACCGGGCATGGCATGCATGTGAACACAGATTTAATTGAAAATCATCTGGGTATTATCACAGAACGTCTTTCTTAAGCAATAAAGTTCGCTTATCGTGCAAACATTATGTTTATAATTTTATCCTGAACGAACTTATTTCAAAGTAGAAAATGAATCATTTATGCCGCTAGCTTGCATGTTTGGTCAACAAACCTTCACATTTAGAAACGTTCCCAATGGCAATGACAGGTTATAAATCAGTTTAAAGAGGGGTTACAGCGGATTGACCGGATTCTGCACATTGCGGTTCTGCTCATAAATTTGGGGGCTCCATGATTTAGAAATTGCCTAAGCCTAAGGGCCAGATTCCACCATCTCGTTTTTACAGGTACATACACGCACATAAATATTTAAAACCTTCAAAGTTTTTATATAATTAATTTTATGCCAGAAAAACATAACAAATCTTCAAAAGAGTCCAACGCAATGCAACTATTCAATCGCAAATTTTTGAAAGTATCATTTAAATTATTTAAATTGCTGCGTGTACATATAGGTGCACAAAACGCGACAGTTGAAAGCAGCCCAAATTTCGCATGTTTTGAATTTCTTCGAACATAAACTTTCATTTAAAAAAGTTAGTGTAATGAAATGGTAATACTAGTAAATATTCGGACAGAACAAGATGTTTTTACATAGTGATTCAAAATGTAAACAAAGCCTTTCTTTACATTACAGACTGCATGTAACCCAGCTTTAAACAACAAGATATAATATCCACATGAAATTAATCAGTTACTTCTTAACGTACAGACAAGATGAAAAACGCAACACCACGTGACACAAACGTAACACAAACGAGCAGCGTAACACCGCATCAACATTCAACACTATGGAAACACGAAACAATGAACGACACATCACGAAACAAACGACAGAATAAAAAAAAGAACAAATCAGAACGCTGTTCGAGTACCCTTAGGGAATATAATACCCCTGACACTATTCAACTATAGTCGCGCGGTATTATTATAGCCCTGTTTACACTACGCGCGATATTTGGTACGGCACGGATAAATCTGGTACCTGTACCATTTTTATCCGTGCTTGGACGATCTATTTAGGTAGTCCAAGTACTTGTAAAAGTGGCACGGCCGGAATTTTATCTGTGCCCTACAAATATCACGCGTACAGTGTAAACGGAGCTTTAAGATTTCTTTAATTGAAATTATAAGTTCATGGCTATCAGCTAAATAATCCATCGCAATTATCGCTACTATACCGGATACCATCGCTAGTTTAATTAATGAAAGTAATCACCAATCTAGCGTCTTCATCACCTCTTATATATTTTATTTCTTATACAGTGGAACCCGACTGTACGACAATTCCTTTTTTGTGACAAAAACTATAAATCTGGAAAACGCGCGTGCACGACAACTTTTGATGTCACATATTGTCTAATTAAAATTAATGAAATTACAGTACATGCTGTTGAATTTGACATGTGTATAATTTCCATTCGAAATTAGGCCTTTAGGGTCATTATTAAACCCTTTTTCATGTTTTATTTTTCGGAAACAGTTGTCAATCGTGTTAACACACTTCGCTAACATAAATACCCTGAAAACGTGTATTTCTTTGTTTCTGAGTATTCGAGACATTTCGCTGCGATATGGTTGAAATGGAACCGGGCCTTACCAATGGTCATATTGACGGAATTCCACTGTATACATGCAGTACAGTATTTAAAAAAACGACTTACATTTCTCCAAGCTTTCCTTTATCTTGTTCCTTAGTTCGTTACCGCAAAACCTACACAACTCATCTGAAAATACTTTCTGTAAACCACAATCACAATAATTAGTGTCACTATCGCGCACTCGCTTGGGGAAATAAGAAAGGGTGCTATTACTACGAGAACTATTAACATTATTATAACCATGTTTACGCAACCAAATTAAAGAAATGTATTCGTGATGGAAAACCTGTTGCCACCTATGGCTATATGCAGTATTTGCACAGTACTTTGAGATAGCTATATGCTTTGCTTCTCGTCCTTCCATTGAGTTTAAACCCAGCCCCAACCCATAACGTTCCTTCATTTCTTTTGTGTGAACAGGAACAACAAGACCTAAAGTCCACACAGTTGGATTCACTTTCAGATATAGCCAGTAACCACGATGGAAATTTTCACAATGTTTCTTTAGTTCTCTTACCTGCTCATCAGTAATATTTACCCGACTAAATAAAGCAACTGCATTTCGCAAGCAAAGGCAGAGATAAGCATGAACGTGAAGTATATTAGAGGTTATTCCAGAAACACCATTTTCAAGCACATCAATGAGAAACATAAAGTTGTGTAAAAACATGCGAGAGTCCTTACCTGTGAATCTATAGTTGAACGTCATTCCATCAAGCTTTGCGTTTTCGTCGTACCACCGTATGATACGTTTCGCCAGCCTATTCAGGTTACACTTTGATCTTAAAACATTAACAAACTTGTAAAATGGTGTTTCTGGTAGAACCTGAGAAAAAGATGAAGGTAAGTTAGGTTTTGACATTTCAATCGCTTGATTTAAAAGATAACGATGAGCTAAGGCACATGCGTTATTTTTTAAATGAAGCGGTTAGACATGAGCTCTGTCTATTAGCTCAGCCACCAAAGGAACAAATTCTTGGCGGCTTTTCTGCTTAGCAATGAAAGTCGTCACATTTGTTCGTTTGGTGGCGGCTTTGACATTCTTCCTTTCAAGTTGTTTTTTGAAGTCAGAAACTTTTTTCGCCTGTTTGATCCTTTCCGAGTATTTCCACGGTTTCCAGGTATCGTTTTTATTTCGCCCGAAGGTTCCTTTTCCGTTTACCGACATGGACTCCTGATTTACATCTGCAAAAGTGGAAAAGTACGTAGCACTATTAGTAAGCTCCCCAGCTAAAAAACAAAGCATTTTCATATCGTTTGGCAGTTCTGAAAATACAAACTTGACTTCAACGCTTTCTTCTTTAGAGTAAGAACAGAGTAAGACTTGCTTTCAACTCGTTTAATATCAATCATAAGCTTACCCAAGAAACGTTTTACCGGTAGACAGTTTTCTGAACAATTAGCTCCAAAAAGAAGAAAATTTTCGTTGCTACTCAATACGCCTTGTCCAATGTTAAGAAAACTTACCAACCATGAACATGCTGAATCATCTCTTCCAAAAGGTGCACCATCTCCACCCAGAGCAATATGAAATGTATTCGGCTCACCGAAGTTAACAATTTGATACTCACCATTGTTCAAATAAAAATTAGCTAGTCTTACAATATCCCTGTAACATCCGTTGACTTTCTCACATTCATCCATACCATTGCACAAATTTTCACGAACACTAAACAACTCACCAATATCAATGGATTTATATACCGCATTAACCTGTCATAGGGAACAAGGCGAGGGGTGGGACAGTTGGCAACCTTAATACGCGCAGCCCGCTTACTACCTACTACCTGCTTATATGAATTAGCCTTATAAACTCTCCTATACTTATCTTTACCCATAATACCCTTGCTATAATATACTGCAATTGACCGCAACATATTGTCATTTGATCTTTCATACTTCTTTAAATCTTCTTTGTATATCTTCGGTAAAACCTTATTCTTGATCTTGCTACACTTTTCCATTCCTTCAACAATATCTTCCTCCTTACATTTCCTATCTAATGTCTCCAACATTCCAATAACTCCTGGCTTCCTGTTTCGTCACTACCCCCGTGTATTGCACATGCTGCTACCATGGTTTCTTTCCTCCGCTTTCTACCTGTAGACTCCACACAACCTTCCCCTGTTTGTTTGCTCTTACGTCTAGTAATTGCCTTCTCGCCTATACTAAAGCTTCCTTCCTGTTCTTCCTGCTTATCATCAACTAATTCAGCCCTGATGTTATCTAGGTCTTCAATTTCATTCACCAATCTATTTACCTGCATATATAAAGTTGAACATAACTGATACTTGTTATAAATGTTTAGTAAAATGTTTTAAACTAAAAAACATAGCATAATTCTGAAAGATGTACAATGTTGTTTCAATCATGCCTGTGCCAATTTATAGCCAGTACCATGCAAGGCCTGTAAGTTTTAATAATAAAAAATAAAACGGAACAAAGGCAAAATCTAAGGAATTCATCAATTTCATATATTTCCTAACTAGTTATGAACACACAACCACAGCATCTGCCAAATTACTGGACATATGTATATATAATGCCACTCTCACGCCCAATGATAGACTATTATTAATTTGATTGTTTAAGAAAATTCTACATCAATTTTGTTTAATTTTATAAGCTTTATCACAATGTATAATTCACATGTCAAACACCATTAATTTATAACACTATTTGAGCTATCCTTATATATTTTGATTTTACAATCACAAGCTATTAAACATATGATATATTTGTGAGATATTGTTATGTAGACTTTGGTGTTGACAAAGAAATGCCCAGATATTCATATACTAAAAAGTTGCCCCAAATCCTTTTTAAAATCCAAATTTGTCTAATCTTTCAGAAATGTTGGATTCTGTTAAATATAAATTAACTCCTATGTAGATACAGAGTAAGGTTACTGAGAAAATAATCATCTGGGATTTGTTTAGTACGAATGGTTGCACTACATGTTGCACAAGTAAGATTTTTAGTTAACCACTAAGCTGAAAAAGAGCTTTCTCAGTGGAACAAGTACAATCATTCTGGCATTAGATAGCAGGGTATACACTGTGGGTGCATTTACTGCATTAAAGCCTAATGAGTTAAATATTGACAAATTTTTAGTGAACCATTACACTGCTGGGCTTCCCAACTGACAAATAAAATCATCTGGGTTAATTAAGTTATAAAAACATATATTTAATAGTAGCATTGAAGCTCAGTGGGTTAAAGATCATAAATTTAGGTTTTTGAGAGTTAATCTTACAATGTGGAATTAAATGTCAAGTTTTCAACAAGCTTTTAACAAACTAGGGAAAACATATTCATATATTCATATAACAAAATTTATCAAAGGCACAAACATACAATATGCTTTAGTTAAAAATGCAAATTGGCTCAGAAATATAGCAAATCGGTTATCGGTATGGAAATTTAAGTGGATCAGGTTAGCCGCAAGTCCATATAATACACGAAAAATAGCAAGTCAAACACGAAATATACAAGTTAAATATATAAATACAAATAAATAAACGTTCTTACCTTATCATCCAAACGTTTAAGCTTCTGGGATACGCATTTTGCTTTTTTTTGTTTCGTCTCCACAGCTTGCCATGCAAGTCTTTTGTTGCGCATATATTCCCCAACATTGAATCTGCGGTATTGAGATGCCTTTCTAAAAGGCATGATTCTGAGTTTCTTAGCTCATTTTTGTCAGAAAAAAAAACATACGATTTGAGATTGGTTCCTTAGCTTTTGAAATATACCAAAAATGAACAAAAGTAACCTCACACAAAGAATGCTATACAAGCCGAATATGCGGTTGTTTGAAATTTAATTTCCGCCCGACGCCATTTGCGCCAAATGCCTCTAACAAGAAGCTCGCTTAAAGCAAAACATTTGCCGTTACCATAGCAATATTGATATCAAAATAAACCTCTTGTTACCCTCTATAACACTATTATACCCCCAAACACCTCACGGAGAAAGCTCCGGAAAAACATAGCCGAATATAAGGAATTCTCCGTTCGAAAAATTCATTACCACTCTTCAGAAAATGTCGCGCGCCTCCAATAAAACCCGGCACATTCTAATTGTTCAATTTAGCGTGCAAAAATGCCAAGCGTGAAATAATAAAAATTACACTTCCTTACTAAAGCCTCTGTGATAAGGTCTTCTCTGCGCTCAGTAGAAAATGTAATATTCTGAGTCTTTTGCCTGCTTTGTCTATAAAACAAAAACAGTTTTTTTACAAATTACCAGCAGTTGTCAGTTTTATTTTATCTCAAGATTGACAACTGACCTTTTCTCCCACCAATGATAACTTCTGTTGGTGCCTTCAAGCTTGGCAAGATGTTTAGAAAATGTTTGAAACCCAATAAAATATTTTTGAAAATTTGTCAGTTAATAACTTACTCCATGTGGTTACCAAACATTCACATGTGCAATGACAAAACTAGATTGAGAACTTTATGGGTGCAGTTATATTCCAGTTGCCAAAATACATAGAAAGACAGAATGATAGTTGTCAGGTGTTGAAATCCTACAAAAAATAATTTGCATGAAATTATGGAAATTATAATAAAATCCTAAAAGGACATAGGATTGATTTCAACATCATTTGTTAGGAAAATCAGCAAAAGAACCTCTATTTTGGAGTTGGTCTGAATTCTTGACATTTTGCCAAAACTTTCTAATAGTTGTTTATCATAACAAAGAGCTATTATATATGTTAGGCATTTGCAAGCAAATTCCAATTGGAAACCCCAGGATCATGCAGCAATTATAATGACAGGAAGTCAGGATACATATCATGTCAGATAAGCCCAGGTTGCACAAGACATCTTAATCAAAATTTACATCAAAATGACTTTGACAAACATTGACACTCAGGTATTAAAGTCACATACTCGGTTAGAAAACTTGTAATTTGTAATAACAAAAATATTACAATTACCTGGTATTATTTAATATACCAGAGCAGTACTTGAGTGTGAAAGTACAAAAGTATCCAGAACTATTACACTTACTCAAAATCAAAAACATTCGATTGCAATTCCGCCATGATCTTTGGCGCATACCCGATTCGTGAACTTTGACGTCGGGCGCGTGATGAAAGGACTGATGAAATATTATGTGGCAGATCACTAATGAGGGTTATAAGGCCGTGTTACGAGTCACGAAATATATTGTAATAATTAAATAAATATGTAATGCATAATTATACGGCACTAATAATATAATGCTACCATTAAATTGTTCTACGGTTCTACGGTTTTATGGTTTTATTGTTTGATGGTTCTACGGTTCTATGGTTCTATGGTTCTACGGTTCTACGGTTCTACGGTTCTACGGTTATATGGTTCCATGGTTCTATGGTTCTACGGTTCCAGGGTTCTACAGTTCCAGGATTCTACGGTTCCATTGTTCTACGGTTCTATGGTTTTACAGTTCTATTGCAATAAGTACGAAATTTTCTAAAAATCTCTAATAAAGTATATTACTCTCTTTTCGGTTTACACTGTCTTAAAATTCGTAAAAAACTAAAAACGATTGTTAATAAATCCAAAAAAGGCAAAGCGAGACGATGTTTGAAATTTCAAATTAAAATTTCGCCTTTCTCTCGTTGTACGGTTGGTTGCCGCGACACTATATCCCCAAATATGTCGATTATGCGTCCACTCTGACTCTTACTCATTATTATATTTCGGTCAGTGGATGCATTTACGTAACATTGGTTCACAAGGGAATGAGGGATATTTACTGTCAACAATCAGGCGTATACAATTAATTTATCAAACTATGGAAGAAAAACAAAATATTTCACCTATGATAATTTGGACATATCCCTTCCTTGCTGACTCAATTGTGGTGGAAGAGTAAGTGATAACCTTGTTGATGTACATAATCTTTACGATTATTTATGTTTACCACCTCTATGATACCTTTAAGAAATGGATCTGACTTGTTAAACATATCAATAAATCTATTTTTTCTGATACAGGGTTCATGGAGCATAAGAATGCCTGGGGTAGAAACAATTTAAGAAAAAATCCTGCACTTTAGCTTGTTACAGAGGTAAGTTAGCTTTTAGTTTACAGCTTTAATATTGATATAAGGTACTATAATTCTTGTTGACAAACTATCCAAGCTGATAATTGACTGCCAAATTTCTTTGTTCGACATAATACCCATGTGTGCTACTTCGCTACTTTTTAGTTACCTGCCATATTTTGTATAAAATTCTCATTGATATTTTAGTTAATTGACAGAGTAAGGGTTCTAAATTACCAGTAGAGGAATTTTCTTTCACAATGTATCTAGCAAACTCTATTAATTCTTTTTCAGGTAAAAGCAGAATTTTAAAGAGTAAACCACAAGTTAATCCATGATATTGTTGGCAAATTTCAATTGATTGAGAAAAATATTTTGGACTATGCCAAGAAATGTAACAAGAAACTACATTTGTTCTTATAAACAGAGTGGAGAGAGCAATTACTGGGAAATCAGGTAAGTCATGCAATTAATAATAATTTGTCTAAACCAATGGCAAAATTATAGTATTATAGCAATACAGGCTATTGCTACATGAAATATGCCTAT